GAAATTACATAAAACCAGACCTTTAAGTTTTCAAATTCAAAAATCAGATCCAAAATTTATTTAATCAAAAATCAGGTATTAATTAAATTAAAAATTAAAACCTAATTTCTTTCCAATCTCATGTCTCTCACTCATCTCTCTCTAAACTACTCCTTCTCCTTTTTCACTAATCGACCTTCTCTCTCAGTAGTAGCGCTGCCCCTTGGAAGAGGATCTCTGGCCAGCGGCATCACAACGCGGTGCTTAGAGCGCCGCCCCAGCTCGAATTTCAGTTGGCTACGGCAGGATGAAGAAGATTGCTGGTAAAATTGATCCCAAAATCGTGATGTAGGTGGTTGAGAATGGCGAAACTGCCGAGTAATTAGGGTATGTGTTTTCGATCGGCCCCCTTTCTCTTCGACACAATCGTGTTTTGGTTGTTGTGGTGGCGCATGCGTCGGGTTTTTGTTGTTGTGGTGGTTGTGTTGCAGCAGCGACAGTGGTTTTGTTGGTGGTGCGGGCTGCGATGGTGGTGGTTCTGTTGTGAACACAGAGTTGTGATGCTACAGTGGTGGTTCTGCTACGAATTTTTGTTGGCGGTGGTTGTAGTGGTGGTTGTGGCGGTTGTCTTGGGTAGGTGGGTGGGTGGGTGTGCGTGGGTGCGACAACGATTGCTGTTGGGTGTGTGCGGTATTGTGTGCAGTGTCTTGACGATGATCCTGGTTGGGATGAGATAGGCGTGGGTGTCTGTGACCAATGATTTGGTTGATTGTGACCAATAATTGGTTAATTTTTGACAAATTAATAATGTGTGACCTAAGAATTGTAACTGTGACTCACATTTTATTAAGTTATAATCAAGTTGTGACCAATAAAAGTAATCCGTGACCTATAATTTGATGTTTTGTGACTATAAAATAAGTTGTGAGACTTATAAATTTTGTGATTTGTGATCGATGAACAAATTGTGACTTTTAAATTTTTAATTTGTGATCGATGAACGAACTGTGACCTATAAATTTTTTGAATGATGACATTAACATTTTTGAATTGTGACCAAATTGCATAGATCTGTGAACTTTATATATTTATTAATAAAATATATAATTAATTAATTAAATTATAAATAAATTTTAATGAAAACTTGATTTTTGAAATTTAAAACATCTATCCTTAATTTTGAAATGGTAANTCTATCCTTAATTTTGAAATGGTAATACTTAAATACCTTATTTATGTATTGTTCCCTTTTAAAATTTTCTGAGGCCCCACACATCTTGAGGCTCAAGGCCACTGCCAAGGGTGGCCTTGGGCCAGGACCGGGTCTGAAAGAAAGGATTATCATAATGAAACAGGTCTGTACGAGTCAACTGGGATTGACACATGAAACTCGGGGTTATAGTATCCTAACCTAATTCTACATTAATGATCTTCCCCTATAAATAGGTATTTGCACATGTAAAAGTAGATGTATTCTCATTCTTAAACTCTAGCCAAGTTTCTGCTTATTTATCTTTCTCAAATCCATTCCCTGTATATTTTTTTTATACATAAAGTTGAACTGACCATCGGAGTGTCTATGATAGTTGGTCCATTTTCTTGAAATGGTGACGTCGGTAGCTAACCGTGCATCAAAGTGTGCAAGTAACATACATGCAACAAGAACGTGGCAGGAGATCCTTTGATAACACGGTGTTCGAATTTTTTGGGTCCATTTGCTAATAATTGTATATGCTGGGGACTGATGTTGCAATTGTGCCAGAAAAACACAATAATGTTATTTATTAATAATATATATAATTAATTAATTAAATTATAAATAAATTTTAGCGAAAATTTGATTTTTGAAATTTAAAACCTCTATCCATAATTTTAAAATGGTGATACTTAAATACCTTATTTATGTATTGTTCCCTTTTAAAATTATCTGAGGCCCCCACACATCTTGATGCCCAAGGCCATCATTTGCTAATAAATGTATATGCTGGGGACTAATGTTGCTATTGTGCCAGAAAAACACAATAATGTTCTTCTTGAGTTCTTTTTATAATTATAAAGTTTAAGATCTCCTGAACTACAGCTTGATTACACAATTATATAAAAGACAAGGTTTTAGATTTTCTTAATTTTTAATCATGTCATTTAATTACTCTTAAACAATTTTTTTTTTGTTTATTTTTAATTATTTGCAAGAAACTCAGTCTTAGTTGAAAAATCATATACATTTTTCAAAAGTAAATTATCATGCATAATTTATTTGAAGATTAGTAGAGCCCCCCCTCTCTTCAAATAGTCACTTTTTAGGAGGGAAAAATCGTGAAATTTTGACAATATTGACAAAATGACCACTATATATATTTACATACTCATAATTATCGTTTTTCAAGAAAAATGTCATATAGGTCACGGTTGTTAAGTGCCCAATTAGACTAATGTATAAGCTTTCAAGACAAACTATTAAAAATCATTCCATCACTCGTAAGAAAACAAGTATTCACTTCAAATTGTCTAGAGATGTAAAATTCTAGACACATAGTTGCCAAATAATTAGCCTTTGGTTGTCTCGTGCGAATCGATGTTAAGGGTACTAAATCAAAAGTGGCAATTTTTCCCTACAATTTCTTTAGTGAAAAATTTGTGAAAGTCGAAAAGTAATTATAATATTATTTAATAATAATTTAAATGTACCTCCGAATTTTTATTACAATTGTGTTCATAAATGTTCAATAAAATATAAAAGATTGTCTTATATTAACATATATACCTTAAACGTTTTGAACGCGAGGAGTTGTTCGAATAGTTTATATTATTATTCTTATTCTTTCTTAAAATAAAAAAAAATTAATATTTTTTCACAAAAATATTAATAAAATACGATTATTGTTCGCAAAAAGTGGAAACAAGAAATTAATTTTATTTTAGCTATGCTATATGGCACAATCTAAACAGTGATGTGAAAAAGTAGTGAAAAAAATCAGAGGAAATGATGGTATCCATGGGGTTGTAACAAGCAAACTACCACTAGGTTAGCTCTCTACATTGTTTAAATTTGAAACACTAAAATAAGTAAAATGACATTATTATTTTTGTTACCAACAATAAATCATGTAAATTTCTTTATATTTTCCAAACTTAAATTTACCTAATAATTTTTAAATCCGACCATGATGCAACTACTGCTAACTCGATATTTATCAAAATTAAAAACAATAATGAGTTTCAATCACATATTTCATGAGATTCACAATTTTTCAATTATGTTTTTCATCAATTTTTATCAAAATTTGCTAAAAATCTAATTTTTAATCTCTATCAAATAGGACTATAAAATATATATATTTTTTTCTTGCGGGGGTGGGGTGGGGGTTGGGAACAAACAAAATATTTTGAAGAAAGAAAGTTAAAAATAATAACCATCTAGATTCTTTCATTTCGAAGAATATAGAATGATCGTCCTCTCGAAATGGAATCTATAATATTCATGCATTAATAACATTTCATGATTTTTACACTACTCAATTGATAAGATTTTTTTGGTGTCGGCCTAATCCCCCTAGTTTTAAATATTTTTCTTTGAATTTTGCTACACGGACATTAGGAGTTACATACTGACACATGACACTCTATCATTTGTCAGTTTAAAACACAGCCAACCTTGTCATCCAATATTTTTCTTTCACGTCATATTACGTTATACAATTTTGATGTACAAATAGTAAAATTATTTTCGTTGAGTGGTTAACAAACGTGCTTCCAACGGTGGCCTTAAAATTAAAATTAGTATAAAAATAGACAATGAATTCACTCTTAGCTGAAGAGTAATCTAGTCCATTCTTAACTTGAAAGAGTTCACAAACTACTCATCCTAAATGGACGTGGAGTCTGGGCAGCTGCCACCAAACACAAAACTATCGCCATTAAATCGGCTGAACACATACATCGCAAATAGCCGAGTCGGAAAGCGTTTCAAGATCACTGAACGCGACACCACCTTCACCACCGAGCTCCGCGCCGGCACCGCCACTTTCCTCACCATGGCTTACATCCTGGCCGTGAACGCCTCCATTTTATCAGACTCCGGCGGCACGTGCACTGTCTCAGACTGCATACCTCTCTGCTCCGACCCCTCAATCCCACTTTCCAATTGCACAAACACCTCGAACCTACGCCTCATCCCACCTGATGCATCATGTAAATTCAATCCTGTCAACCCCGGCTACACAGCGTGCTTAGAGAAAACCCGAAAAGACCTCATCGTAGCCACCGTGGCGTCGTCCCTCATCGCCTGCGTACTCATGGGCGTTTTCGCTAACCTTCCCCTAGCCATGGCACCAGGAATGGGCACCAATGCTTACTTTGCATACACTGTCGTAGGTTTCCATGGTTCAGGGAATATCTCCTATGAAAGCGCATTGGCTGCTGTTTTTATCGAAGGTCTCATATTTTTATTAGTATCTGCCGTCGGTTTACGTGTAAAGCTTGCAAAACTGGTGCCAAAACCAGTCCGAATCTCATCCTCTGCTGGCATAGGATTATTCTTAGCCTTCATTGGGTTGCAAAACAATCAAGGGGTAGGCCTAATTGGGTATAGCTCATCAACTTTGGTCACCCTTGGAGCCTGCCCACGCTCTGCACGCGCTGCCCTAGCACCAGTGGTGACATCAACAAATGGTACGATTTCCCTCATCTCAGGTGGCGCAGTTTCGAGTGATATATTATGCTTACATGACCGGATGGAGAGTCCTACATTTTGGCTTGGTGTGATTGGATTTGTTATTATTGCTTACTGCTTGGTTAAGAACATTAAAGGTGCAATGATTTATGGGATTATTTTTGTTACTGGTGTTTCTTGGTTTAGAAACACAAAAGTTACTGCTTTTCCAAATACACCTTCTGGGAATTCTTCATATGAGTATTTCAAGAAAGTTGTGGACATTCACAAGATTGAAACTACTGCAGCTGCTTTAAGGTTCAAAAGCATAGGAAAAGGCTACTTCTGGGAAGCTTTGATAACCTTTTTGTACGTGGATATACTCGATACTACTGGAACTCTGTATTCAATGGCACGTTTCGCAGGATTTACCGACAGCAATGGCAATTTCGAGGGACAATATTTCGCATTCATGTCCGATGCATCATCCATAGTTGTGGGTTCTTTACTAGGTACGTCGCCTGTGACAGCATTCATCGAGTCGTCCACGGGGATAAGGGAGGGCGGAAGGACGGGATTGACTGCCTTAACGGTGGCGGGGTATTTTATGTTGGCATTTTTCTTCACACCTTTGCTTGCTTCGATACCACCATGGGCGGTAGGGCCACCACTCATATTGGTGGGCGTTTTCATGATGAGGTCTGTGGTGGAAATAGAATGGGATGATATGAGGCAGGCTATACCTGCCTTTATGACATTGATTTTGATGCCCTTGACTTACTCTATTGCCTATGGATTGATTGGTGGCATTGGGATTTATATTATTTTGAATTTGAGGGATTGGATTGAGGAATTATTGAGGAGATATGGGGTTCTTAAGGAGACAAGGGGTGAATCCTTTGCAGACAAAATTGAGGAGTAGCTTAGGGTAAGAAATTTTGATCTGTATTAGTAGCAATTTTCTCCTTGTATGTGTGTATATATATATATTATATTTGTACAAAAAGAATTTGACAAAAATGTTGACAAACTCTCACATGATTGTCGGCCCCACATGAATAAAAATTTGAAAATAATTAGTGGGCCCCCCACATGTGAGGGTTTGTCAACATTTTTGTACAAATTCTTTTGTACAAGTAGTAAGGTCCATATATATATATATATATATTTTTTTTTTTTTTTTTGCGAGTGCATGTAAATACACTTCCAAAATTATTATGAAGTATTGCATACATATAATTGTCCTAAAAATATCAATATGGTTTACACAAAAGGGGTCTCGTCAATTTACACTCGGGATCATACATTATAAGCTGCAATATAAAATTATGAACGAAATATTATCATTAAAATTATCGAGGTATAATAAAGAAAAAGGGAATGAGACATCAAAGGAATGTATAATTGGTTTCATATATACAATGTAATATCTTTTAACATGTAAAAAAAATGTTAATATTTAACTTGATTTTTGGCCTAAAAACAGGTCACCATTGAGGCAAAAAACGTTGTTTTAAGTAATTATATTCACCGTTTTCTTCTTGTAGTGTAAAGAATGCGTTCGAATTTGAGTGTGACCCGAATTCTTTATTGAAAATAATAGAGAATTCTAATTAAAGTACACATTATTTAGAATCTTACTTGGTTGTAATTGTGAAACTCTATTCAAATTTTCTTGGCAAATTCTAATTGAAGTTCTTTTTGGAAGCCATTGTAAGTAAGAATTTGTGTATTTAAAGAAGATTTTGGAATGAAGGAAAACATCATTGGAAGGAGTTTGAGTCGGAGACGAGGTGCTTAGGTGCTGCAATTGTAAATATTAATAGCAAGGTCGGAGCCAGCCCACGGTGCTAAGGCGCCACCCGTTCTGCTCTCTTCGTTGCTTTGGTTTCCTTTTCCATTTTGGAACCCGTTTTTGATATTTTACTTCATCTACAATTCTACTATACGGGTTAGATATTCCATAATTGTTCCTTATATATAGTTGACTCTTCATCGTATTCTAGAAGAAGTTAGAAGTTGCTAGACAAATCATATTATACTAAAAACTCAATTATCTGCAAATTATTTTATTCATGTGTTTTTATAATCAATTACTTCATATTGTCTTAATCTTTTATCTTTTCACAATAAACTGGTATTGGAGCATTCCAGTTTCCATAACAATTGATATAAGCGCTTTGGTGTTGAAATTTTTGGGAAGATCGATATTTTTCGTGATGGCAACAATGAAGTATGATATTCCGATATTAGATCGCAACTGAAGATTCTCTTTGTGGTAGGTAAAGATGAGAGTAGTACTAACTCAGTTGGATTTGAATGATGAGTTGTTATGATTTGATAAGATGCCCAACTTGGAATATGGTGGAGAAACAATGGAGGGATCTGAAATGCCCTATCTCAAATACATCTTCATTTTTTTCAATAATATTCTTCAAAATGTTTTGAAGAAGAAGTCAACCGCTACTTTATGGTTATAATTGGAGCAATTATGCATTATAAAGAGTTTTACTAGCAAATTGCATTTAAGGCAAATTCCATCTGAAGCAACGTCTATATTTTCATCGTATGACAGAATGTACATCTCTTGAGGATCACCTAACTGCTTTTAAAGAAATCGTCGCTGATTTGGAGACCATGGATGTCAAATATGATGAAGAAAACTTGGGATTGGTTTTGCTGTGTTCATTGCTCCTATCATACATGTCTTTTAGAGACACGATACAATATAGTTGTAATATTCTCACCATCAAAAAAGTCTACGATACTCTATATTCAAAGGAGAAGATGGAGCATCTTATAGCATCTGGGGATCATGGATATGGTATCATTGTTCATGGTGGTCGTTAGAGGGATAAGTTAAAATCTAACTTCCAATTTTTAATTATTGTAAGAAAAATGGGCACTTCGTAAATGATTTTTATAAGTTGTAGAATAAATCAAATCTAATTTATGTCTGACTACAATTTCAAATCTGATGAGGTTTGAATTTTGGATAAAACTTGCAATTTTCATATGGCACATAATTGGGGAATTATTTTTAACACATGAAGAAGTTTCAAAAGGTGTTGTGATGACCGATAATAACACACCTTGTCGGATAGCTGGTATTGGTCAATTCAGAATAAAGATGTTTAACGGGACAGTTAGAACATTTGATGCGGTGAGACATGTTCCAGGTTTTAAGAAAAATCTTATCTTCTTAAGTATTTTTGATTCAAAAGGGTACATATATATCCTTGAATGTAGAGTTCTGAAAGGTATCAAAGAAGCCCGTGTTGTGCTGATGAGACATAGAAAATCCCATTTAAATATCTTGTATGGTAATACGGAATCTTTGAGTAATCAGTATATTTTGAGAACTTGGGTGGATTTAATGTTGGCTTATGTACCGTTAGAGTCTAATTTAGGGTTTTCGTTTAGAAATGCATCTCAGTTGAATTTTGAAGATATGGATAAATTCTTCCTGCCACCATTATCGATGGTGTCATCGTATTCAATTTCTAGAATTAGACCCATTTTTTCCATAAGATTTCACATAGGTACAATTCTACTGATTTTGTTGATGGTTTAAAAGTGGTTAAGGATGTTGATTCTAGCCAAGATCTTCTTTTGATGTATTTAGTTGTGATTATGTTACATGGCTTGTTTCAGCCTTGTTTGGCGGTCATCAGATCACTTTTTCCCTTAGCGTGGTAGTAGAGGTGGAGAATATTTCCAATTGGAATTATTGATGAGAAGTTCATTTGTGTTTTTTTTTTCATTGAAGAGTTCAAATTTATTCGTTGCAGCGGAAATTGTCTCCAGGTGGAGAATTTTTGAAATTTTGTTCATTACAGTGAAATTCGTTTCTAGATGGAGATTGTTAAAATTTGGGTAAAACCCTAATTCTTTGTTGGAAATAATTGAGAATTCTAATTAAAATGTACATTACTTAAAATTCTATTTGCATCCTATTCAAGTTTTTTTGGCAAATTCCAATTGAAATTGTACTTGGAAGTCCATTGGGAGCAAGGATTTGTGTTCGATTTAATAAAAACTATGGAATAAAGAAAAACATAATTGAAAGGAATTTGGATCGAAGACAAAGCGCCTAGGCTCTGCAGCTGTAAATTTTAAGAGTAAGGCCGGAGCCACCTGATATGCTCTCATCCGTGTTTTGATCTCATTTTCCTTTTTGGACTCCGTATTTGGCATTCTACTTCATTTACAACTGTACCATAAAGGTTTGGACGTCCCCTAATTGTTCCGTATGTATAATTGGCTCCTCATTGTATTCTGGAAGAAGTTAGAAGTTGTTAGACAAATTATAAACACATAATCTTTATATTATTTCTCCATATTATAATAAAATTTCATTATCTACAAATTATTTTGTTCTTGTGTTATTGTGATCAATTACTCTATATTGTACATTAATCTCCCATCTCTTCACAACAAACTGGTATTGGAGCATTCCAATTTTTTTAACAGAATGTTTGTTCTCATGAAGGATATTTAGGCGAATAATATCGTGTGGAAGAAATAACAAGTTTTAATATTACTTAATTAGTTTTTTTTTCCGCATATAAGTGCTTTTAAAAACTTTATTTAAACAAAAGTGGAACCTAACATTATCCATGATAAAAAGTTTGGTCCCAAGTCCCAATAATAGAGATAGCTAAGTAGGGAAAGCAAATTGAATGATTCAAGTTGTCTTTTGCCCAAATGATGACAGGTCAGAATATGATATTCTTGTTACAATAGGAAAAGTGAAACCTAAGTTGGGACAACTCTACTCTGCTAGAGAGATATGTACACTTATAAGAAAACAAGAAGCATACCGAGCACTCCATAGGTTTGATATATCCTGATTCTTTTATTACTAATAAATAATGTTGGTCGATCAAATTGGTATGTGCATCGTGTGAAACTTGTCAAAAAGGATATGGACCCAAATTAAAAAGGCCATTGGCACATTGGAAGAACAACTTGTGTTAAATATAAGGAGGGACGTTTTTTTTTTTGTGTTAGCGATCAAGAGATTCAATTACAATCTATGATTGATGCGACAATCAAGAAACCAGGTCTTGATTCAATCCCTTGCGTGCATGGTTGAAATAAATAAAAGAATTTTATGTTACTTCATAATTCCTTTGTATTTTTGGTTTAAATTTTGAAAGTGTCAAGTTGTTTTGTAAACCCAAAAATTAAATTCTAAGACTTAATATGTTAGCAGAACCCAAAAATCTCAAATAAGCATTTTGAATCGATAGCAAGACGGCTAGGGTTCTTAAAAATACACCATTTTGCAAGGATATTGTAATAGTATAATCCCACATCGATTAAAAATATAAAAGTTAACCGGCTTATATGGAATAAGACTAATCCTCTTAACAAGAATTACATTTTAACATGAAACCTTTAGACTCAATATTAAGTATTTCAAAATTTTTATTAATCACCATCGCTTTTGGACTGATAATTCTTCTATCGATTTAAAAGTTAGAAATCTTTGAGCCTAGCACCTTAAATTTTCATATATTTCTCTTTTGTTAGAAAATTTCATTTGTAAATAGATACATAAATCATTAGCTATCTCTCACAATTGATGCATATCAAGAGGAATCAAATTCACACTTTTCTCTATTGTTCTTTTTGTCATGATTCTTCTTTAACACCTGTCTCATGTTTGCATTCTTGTATGATTTTAGAGTTTACAAGTGGAAGGTAATATGGATAATCGAAGATCAATAAAGATAACAGACACTAAATAAAGTAAGAATGTTGGATTTTATTGGACATTAGAACAAAAATCTCGAATTGCTCATAATGAATGGAAGATTCTTTCTATAGTATTATTTTTGTTCATTATCCATATGTCAATTAATTTAAATTTGTAGTTCATAATTGTACCACGTGGTATAGTCCAAAAAATACTCA